ACACCTGCTTACGAAATGAAGTCTGCAAAGGCTAAAGCCCGTGCTCTGCTATTTGCCACGCATGTCGTTTTCATGTCGCTCCAAATGTCCTGAGCTTGGAATGTGTTCGAGGCTCCGCAAAATGACGAACAAGCCACCTCTTGGTGCACAAAGCTCTCGTGCTGCAATTGCTGTTGTTACTCAGCTGCCTCTGGGGCATTCTTGCGTGATGCTGGCTGGTTTGCCCAGCACAACTTGCTCACAAAGGATTGTACGTGAAAGCACTCAGTAGGTGATTTGTCCCCTGTGTTGTTCCGTGTGTTGTTTCTACCTTTGAATTAAAACATCCTCAAACATGCCAACGATCAAAAGGTGTTTTGTCCTTCGCCGGGTTTCTGTCTCACTTTCAGGGCAACCATCGGCCCTGGCTCGGCTGAACTGCGTTGAAGTGACACTCTAGCAATCTGCGTGAGCTCTGCCGGGGTGTACACGTGGATGTTGTCCTTGCTTCAAACACAAGGTTTCTCTCAAGACCTGATCTGCACAATAGACATCGGACATGTGGCCGGCAAGTGAAAACAAGAGAAACCCGTTTTTTCTACCCTGGCAGGTTTGTAGTTAGTCAAAGAACTTTGGAAGCCACTCCCCTGCCACCAACCAACATCTGCAGAACCCCCCCTCTGGCAAAAAGGATTGTCTTCCAAAACGGGTCTGTACACTCCCATGTTGGTTGGTGATACGTCGGATACGTTTTTGAGCAGTGGACCCACACTGGTTGCAAGCAAAAGGTCAAAGCTGAATCTGACTCGCCAAACCTACGCAACCAAGTCTGCTCATACGGCAAAAGGCGCATATGCTGGTGGGTGGCCAGCAAGATATACTGTTAAGAACCGTAGACGGTGCCAGTGCATTGTTGGCTTGCCAGGCTTGTGGTGGGTGGCGGTTGTACCACGTCTTTGGCCACCCCCTGTCTCAGCCCACCTCCGCTATTCCCACACTCGCGTCTCAAAGAAAGATCTCTTGGGGAAATGCACGTCGTTTTGGTGGTGGTGTTCGCCTGATTCGCCTGACCATGAAAAGCACTTCCCCTGACCATGAAAAGCACTTGAGGGGGCGTGTGCAGAAGAAACGGTACCCAAATAGGGAAACTCCAAAATGGCTTGCCCTGGAAAATGGAAACATGGACTAGAATCCGGTGTCACCTGGAAAATTAACTTTGACCCACACACGTATGAGGTCCTGTAGATTTTCCTAAGTTTTACATGATCTGGTGATGTGTTTTTTTTTTCTTTTTCTGGATGCTATGATGGCAACTGGAAGCAGTGCGGTTCTGGGTTCTCTGCCAAAAGCGGCTGTGCTTTAGGGTAGAAAATATGGACCGGAATCCGAACACGTTATGTTTAGTGCACCAAGAGGAAACAAGCTGACTCGTTCGTTGTTACCCCCAAAAACCGATCTGTTTGACATCCAAGTGTTGGGGTTTGAGGGTCCCCTCACACCCATTGGGACTGCAATTACTTTTGGCTGAGATCGGCAACAGGCACCGTATGCCGCCTGATAGACACTCGATAGGAACTTGCGGGTAGTTTGATTCATCATTTTGGAGAGCGGCTCCGAAAGGTGTGAGCTATTCTTGACCACAGCCATACCATATACCCGGCAACTGGCAACTCGAAGCACTGGGCTTCTCGATCGACCCGCTTCGTGGCGGGTCGAGGGTCCAGCAGTTGGCTCTCCAGGTGCGGCATCAACGTGTTTTCGATGAAGTCTTCCGGCAGGCGCTTGGATAAAACCACCGACTTGCCTCACGGTGGTGGTGGTGGTGCTGCTGCTGGTGGTGGTAGTGGGTCAATCAGAAAGGAACTTGCATTTAAAAAGAAACACCAAAACATACGAGCCTCAGAAGGGGGTCAAAGAGAAACTTTCTTGCTTAAGGTCATGGAGGATATGCGGTTCGGACAGACAAAATGGGGTTCGCGGGTCCAGATGTATTGTTTGGGAAGTTGGTTTCAATCAAGGCTACTCCGACTAAACAGCTTGATGTCAAGCCAAACAGCTTGGGCAGCTTCGGTATCTGGAATGACTTCATGTGGCAGTTAGATATGCACACTCATGTAACCATGCAAGTTTGGTTGGTTCACAATGCAGGTTTCGGGGTCAAGACAACCTCTGTGATGATAGCAACTCGTTGCCACCGGGCAACCGCAAAACTTGAAGATGAGCTGCTCATGTAGTGAAAACACTACGCCTCACAAAAGCAAACACTTTATTGAGTGCACACCACGGCTGACATAGGCCCAAGTGCCTGCAAGCCCCTGTCCTTTTAGGAAGGTCGCTGAACATCTCCCAGCTTGATTTCACGCAACCACAACGCACTACAAGCCAAACATTAAGTTGTAACTTTGAGTCCCCATGATCCTCAAACAATAGGGCGATATGCCCAAACTTGAGGCGTCATGACAAGTACTGAAATGTCTGTACGTGGCCAAAAGAATCGTGCATGAACGCTGTTTAGGAAGTCTGACGGAAATCGCCTTTACCAGGCTGTAAGTGTGTGTGTTCCTGGATGCGCTTAAACACAGTTTGCAATTTATATGGCTCCTACTGAATTCCGCTTCATCCGTCTCCATTGGCAGTGGGGCAACGTGCGGCTTCCTTGCCGCTTTTGCAAGTTTTAGCCGACATTCGCAAAAATAGTTCCCTTGGTTGGTCCAAATACATTGCTTCAGTGGAGACTCCAAGTAGACCGAACTAAAAATGGTCATGGAAGAACAGGCCCGTTGTCCAGAAGCTCAAAAGCTGTGGCAAACTCAGTCCAAATCTAGACGCGCCGAAACAAGAGATGTATTGGGCAAATGAGCTGCTCCCAATGACTGGAACTAAGGAACCCTTGACTGACCGGCAACCACTAGTTGTGTACGAAGCTTAAGTGGAAAAATCCCTTTGAAGAAAAAACATGATATACAAAAGAAAATCGCATGGCGGGTCCAACAATTCAAGTAGAGTTCTGACATCTCCTTGGAGACCACCTTGTATCGAAAGCCGGTATCCATGCAAACTGGTCAAGCTCTATGGCGCCATCGCAGCTCAGTGGCTGGTCTTATCCTCGCCGTCCTCGCCGCCATTGCTATGTCTTCGGGCCCAGGGTGCCAGCGGCGCCAGCGGCGGAAGCGGCCGCGACAGTCGCGGCCGACCGATCCGCGAAAGGAGCCGCGGGAGCATGGCGCCTTCCGAGCGGAGGCGGAAAAACGTCGCTCGGTCGGCCAAAATGTGGAGCCCAGTTGGGGACCTGGTTCGCTTTCTACGCCGAAATCATCATGGCTTTTTTTTTTTCACAGAACCATATGTTCCCAACACGAAAACTCAAATATGGTGCAAACAGATTCTCTGTATCCAACAGTGCTCTGGGAGAGGTCAGGGGACATGCTGCTAAAGGTACATGTAATCCCATACATACTCAAACATACATGTGTATCTGCCTGTATAAACAAACAATACGACATGCCCGGCGCATGTGTAAGCCTATCTTCATCGGCCAACGCCATGTCTGACTCGCAACATCCTGTGAGCCAGTTTTGTCTGCGCCGGAGCAAAGCCGCTCAATCCATGGGCAAAACTCCCCAGGTGGGCCATTGCTATTCCCTGAATGTAGCTCAGCATGACTCCGTATATTCTAGTTGTACTTCCTCCATTCTTTCAAGGGATGCTTGCGTTTGTGTCAGGAAACCGAGGGAAGATGGGGATTAACGTTCCCTCAAGCGTCCCTTGGTACTTTCTATGGATGTACATTGACCCATTTTGACCCCAGTACATCCTCAGAAGGAACCGATGGACAGCTTGTCTGAGGACAAGCGTTGTATCTCAAGATGGTCAACCCCCAAAAAACATGCTTTGTGTTGCTACCGGAGTCACTGGTTGCAAATGGAAGTAAGGGAAAACTCAAGCCTGCCGCCCATGTCCGAGGTCAACTTTATTGGAGACTAATGTAGGCGAGGTTCACTCGCCTATCCTAGGACGTGACGTCACTGTACCCACTTTAGACACGCCGCACTTGAAACCAGCAGACAACGTTGTGCCACAAACAGCTGTGGTGACAGTATTTGGTCAAATCATGTCTTCCCGCTTATTAAACAAAGGTCCCCTAAATTACAAACACAACAAAAACAAACAGTTGTTGTTTAAACAAATTCGGGGGGGGGCAATACTTACTAAATTAGAATAGCCCAATTTGAAACCACTAAAACAAGCGATTCTCGCTTCCAGTCTTATTGAGAGACCCCCTGCCCTCAGACAGCAAGAACTACTTTTTGGACAAGAAGAACAAGTTGCAGTTCCTCTTCAAAATCCTTGCTTGAAAACAAGCATCCCTTTTAATTAGCTCACTCTCTTTCGACCGTAAACAGCCAATCTAAAACCAGGCTTGAGTTGTTTGACTCCTTTGCTTAAAAACAACATCCTGGAAAACTGTTGGCTGTTAGCGGGGGCGGATTGTCACGGAAATGAGGAATCGCTGCACTCCCGTGAGCTGGCTATAATTTCCCCAAATGAGGATTCCGATGGACATGTTCGGAAATTGAAGACCACCAAACGTGGGCTGCTTCTCCAAGACTCCACGCACCATGGCTTTCCTTCTTGGTACTCACAATCCAAGAGGGCTCCCAAAAACCGCCTCTACAAGGGGATCCAAATCTGCTGGTGAAGGAACCGAGCTATGGTCCAAATGTATCAACGAAAAATTGCATGGCCCAGGCACGGATACGATGGACAAAATCCATGTCCCAACACTTGGGGATAAATGCAACCTTACAAACAATGGTTGATAAAGCACCAAGTGATGCGAAATGGATGGCATCCATGACTAGGTCCTCCAGTAGAGAGCTTACAATAAGGGACCAACTTTTTCTGTAGTCTATTTTAGTAGGGGAACCCTCCCAACCGAAAAAAGGGTGAGAAAGGGCACCTAGCTGGGGGAGTAGCTTCAGCCCTGTCCATCGGGCGCCACTTCTCTCGAGGCTCCGTGCCACGCTTGGCAGTAGGCCGGCCTGTGCTTGGCGCGGCTCCGCCCGACACCGGCGGAACGAACCGGTGACCAAACGCGTTCCGAGAGCACCCTGGAAAACAAATACATTCCAGTGCAATCTGGAAAACTGGCAAGTCGTAAATTGTCAAAACTGTTCCTACCACACCCCTGAAACACATACAAATAGCCCAATGTTGGTATGCTTGAGTCTTCAAGGGGGTGTGTTTTGGGCTGGTGTGTGTGGGGGGTAAGCTTTGGCCACACGGGTCCCTCACCTCGGGTGCGTGACCACATGGGTCACCCAGTACCTTCACAAGCACCAACAAACCCTCAATGTGTCTGGTTTCTCCCGAAACACCGAGAAGAAGAATCAAAAGGGCGGCCTGCCGCACCAATTTACTGTTGGGAGTGCCCCTTTGCCAACCTTCACTTTAGTCGAGTTTCGATCCTGGCTTCCCTTGATTCTGTGATAGGCTCAGTTGCATCGCGCTTGCGCCTCTGGCGCCGTCTCCAGGAGCAAGACGGCCTGCGAGGCCGAAAACGGGTGCGGAGAGTTTGTTTCCCCGAAGCGTGAAGCAACAAACAAGCGTGGACCGTTCGGGAACCAAGTGACCAAGTGACATAACTTAATTCACCCAAAGCACTTAAACTGTAACCACCAAATTACTACCTATTCATGATCCGATTAACCACCCCATTCAAGTTTGCCTATCACCCAACTCCTGACAGCAAGCGGCGGCAAGCCCACCCCAAGGGAGTGTGCATTTTGGGGAAACAGGTGCCAAGCCGCTTTCATTTCAGAACACCCTATCCTAAATATAGCCAAAATTCAAGCGTAAGAAAGCTTGGACAACTGGCAGGTCATGATAGTCTGAAAGCCAACAAATGAGTCATGGTCATAAAACCGCTCCTACCACCCCCCCCAAACACACAAATATCCGTCTATTTAGGTCTTCCCCGCGTGCGGGTCCCAGATTCTCGGTGGGTGGGCGTCCGAATGCATGGGCCAAGCCCTGTCACACTGCTTAAACCGTTCAAACAGCTTCCTGTTGGTTTCCCTCAGGGGGCCGTGGTCCGTTGATCAATTAGCCCCCAAAAGACCACGTCTAACTTTTCCCATTCAGTGGATAAGATAGTCCATTCTGGGCTTCGCTGATCGAGCGATCGCCTGTTGCCAGGCCAAGGCTTCAGCGAAGGCCCGAGCGGCCGTGCGGTAGATCTCCGCATCGAGCCTTGGCTCGGAGGTTCAGCGCTGACCCGCCCAACTCACATGGAACCTGACGTAAATGGAAAAGGTTCCGTTTAAAAGGAACATGATCTTCCAGGAACCGCCGACATGCCAGGTTCCATGTTGGGTGGGAGGGGAAGTGGCTTGAAACCACAGATATTGCTGGGAGCACTGGGTTGGCTGGAAAACATTGTCTGTAAGCCAACTAAGGATGTCCATGGTTCATCTTGGTCAAAAACAACAGGGTGAAAGTCCAACACTCAACAGGCCTCCATGAAACGCAGGCCGCCTTCCTTTCAAAACCACTCGGGCCGTGATCAGAAACTCAGGGCCCGGCCTTGCAAGCAAATGTCAAGCCGTTTGAAAGCCCGCCAAAGGCGAGAACAAAATGTGACCAGCCCCCTTGGAGGGCCTCTGATGGACAAAAACCTCTTGGAAATGATGAAGCCCTATGCTGGGAAAGACAACCAATCCCTGGGAAGACAACCAATCCCAACTTGTGCTCATCAGCCTGGAATCTTGCTTGTCCACAGTTTGTAGGCTGTAGTACCCCGCACCCATTCCAATTGTTTAAGACCTTTGGAATGTGGATGGACAACATTGGCAAGTTAGGATGGACAACAAACATCCTATGAACAACAAACCTCTCACCAACCGGTGCGAAGTAGACTTTGTTCATCTACGGTGTCAACGGGCCTGCCCGGAGTGCTTGAGATCCTTTCTCAACATACCGGCAGGGGTGGCTTCAGACCCTCAGTGAATGTCCATGGGAACAAAATAATTACCACTCTTTTCTTGTACGTAGTTGATTTGAAAGGGGACATCCTCCAATGAAATGAACAAATATCACCACTGAGTCTGGCGGGTTTTAAGGGAAACCCCCTCTAAAAAAGTTGAACAACAGTCACTGCTGAGAGAACCACTAAAGACTAGCTGGCTCTCAGGGAATGAGAAACTTGAAAAATGGAATGTCCCTGCAAAAGGTCCATCCATCCCATATGGTTTCCTTTCGGGCATCCACGGATCCGGTTCATTCCTATCGCAGCAGCAAGAACACACGAGGCCGCGGCTGGACCTCCCGGTTCTGTGCCTCGCACCGAAAACACGCGCATGCGGATCCCCTTTCAAGGCCTGTTTGGTCTGGGTGTGTCTGGCGGAACCCCCCCAAAATGGGCGGTCTCCTTTGAAGCCAAACAAAAAAACGGGGGAACCCCCAACAAAAGACAAACCCGGGTGTCAAAAATGAGCCTGCCCCCGAAACAGGGCAGCTTTCCGTTTGGTGTCCCTGTAAGCTTTAGTGAAATGGGTAGCCTCAAAGAAAGCACCCTCCCATTTGTGAGGTGATTGACGGTGAACAGTTCAGATACTGTCGGCCTGCAGTCCCAATGGATTGAGAAACAAACCATAGACTGAGGATACATTTCTCAATGACCCTTTTTCTTGCTTGTTTGACTTGTCAATCACATCTTCCTCAATGTTTCCGAACATCTGCCAACAAATCCGGGCCGTCCCGAGTCCTTTTTTGTTAATATGTGTGGTGCCCTTTTCAGCTTGGTTCAAAGGGACACCACAAGGAACCCTACCATTTTTGGGACCCCTTGTTTTGAGACAAATTCATTTAACATCTTTGGCTTGGTCTGACACCCTGACATATTTCGCTGGAGAAGGGACCCCAATAGGAATGCGATGTTCTGCCCACCCAAAGCAGTCCGCTTAGTATGCAGGTTGCAAGCATGGTGGAAAGACACCAAACAAATACATAAAACGGAATCGCACTATTCATTAACTTCAACTCTATAAAGTAAACATACCAGGCCGTGCAAGGGGAAACAGGATACTGGTGGGTTAGAGGATGGGCCGGATTTTTCTCAAGCGGTTCCCTAAATGGCGCTGGTTTCCTTTTGCCCTTCAAATAGCAACCCCAAAAGGAGCTTTTCCACCCTGATACTACCAGTTCTACTTGTGTCAACACACAAACACGCGCGGATGCGTTTGTAACTTTCGCGAGCCTCCTGCAGCAGTCCCATCACCTGCAGCCACTGCTGAGCTGCACCGGTGACGTTCAACGCCGCGCCGAAGGTCGGCGCGTTCAGCGCCTCGCTGGGCATCAATAGAGATCGGCAAGAACGCAACTTGTCCTAAGAAGTCCCCAACGGCCAAAGGACTCTAAGTCCTAAACGACTCTTTGTACCCCCTTACCAAAAAAAAAAGAGAAACGTGCTTTGCCCAAGAATACTCCCTCTGGCAATTGGAGAGACGGACCTCACCTTTCCTCTTTCGGGCGCTGGGGCTGGCGCAGCCGCGGGGTCCATTTCGCACATGTCCGTAAAGAGAACCAGCGCGGCCTCGGAGGAATTGGAACGGGACCTTCGTGTGAGCGGACAAAAACAACGCAGCTAGGGCCTGCATGAAAAGTTTATGCTGAGCATGGTTAGTGGGGAAGCAATGTGGATGGACACAATCCACACCAGGCGCCAGTTGGTGGGTGGTTTATGCCAATAGAAGTGTCATCCAGCGCAAATGGTGGATTTATGCAGTGTTACTGTGTTATGCCCGCCTGCAAGAAAAGTCTATATAACTAATAATGCTGCTGGCACATGATTCCAATTGACGTATTGGGGTATTGGCTGACTTTCCACGGCTACCACTTACCAAGCCGCTTACGAGAGAAATGGACACCCCGAATCAACCGGGTTGATTTTGAGGGGATGCATCCATCACGTTCATCTGGGGTCGACATTATAAAGTTGACTCCGGACTAACAACCCCTCAAGTGGTCCCAATCTCCTCAATGAGGGACACCCCCAATATCAATACATAGCTTCACATGCAACTCAGAAAGGGACTCCGTGGCTTTCTGGGGTGCATGTTGACTCACTTTCTGAGTGGATGGGCCAGAACAGGTCCAAACTGTTTTGTTTACCACCAAAATTTATTCCCAACAAGTAGAAAGTCCAGGAACTCACGAAGTGAGTTGATCTGCAGGCCTGGAGCACTTCAGAGACCCTGTCTGATTTGTACAGACCCAGGCAAAACTTGCCAGGCAACAACGCCGAAACAGCAGCGCTGACCGGCGCTGACCCCAAAAAACGTGCTCTTTGAATAAGATACCCTCATGGTTCGAATCGGTTTTCCATTGGGTGCTCCCAGTCGAACGTATGACCCGGCTCTGTGGAACAGAGCCAGGCCGCAGGGTGCCCCCTTTCTCCATCACAACTAACAGAATCTCTATTCAAATCACACGAAATGTGATTCAAGCCAAGGGGACATGGGTGCTTTCTTTCCAAAACCCCAATAAATCGCTATTTTCCTTTTGGCTTCCCTTCAATACCAACCAAATTCCCAGACCCAAAAGGAGCTGCTGAGCTGCTCCTTGGACTCCTGACTCCACCGAAAACAAGCGACTCAACCCCCGTCCTGCCAGTCTTCCTGGCCCAAAGCCTCGATGGCCTTCTTGTACCTCGAGGTCACGACGGCCGCATGGGCTGAAGAGCCTTCAAGAGATAAGACATGTTGACCCCTCAGAGCGATTCCCCCCAGTTCTTCAGAGCTGAGCCCTCAACCCCCCAGTTCTTCAGAGTGATTCCCCCTGGAAGAAAGGAGTCCCCACTTTAAAAAGGACCCCCCCCCGATTGATAACTGAATAGGCCTTGCTCAGGGGTCACATAAGGGTAGCAAACTGGCTGCCTTGAGTTGCCTCGGGTCTCCACTTTCCTAGAGACCTCAGTATGCGATTGATTTACTTGGGGACCATAGACATCATGCACATGGGGGTTGATGTCTCCGAGCTGCTTTTGAGGCGAACATCAAAAGTCGTTGCCACGGCTGCTATGGTATACAACAATAGACGGCCGTGTGTTGGGTGGGCCACAGTCGCCGGTTCCTAAGAAGCACCCTGAATACTGTCTAAACTCTCAGGGAGTTGATTTCCGTACTGCGATGTCCATGGAACAAAATGGACCTTGGACTTTTCAAGAATATCGGGGCTTGCCGCCGCGTGCAGTCTTCTCGTTGTGAGGTTGTTTAGCAGCTGGACAATCACATATATATATATACATATACATATATATATACATACATATTTGTGTATTCATTGCTTTCCGTCCAGCTCTGCTAACCTCGGGGGCAATGCAAGGGGTCTGGGCGGAGAAGCAGCAGCTTGCTGCCGACTGAGCAATCAGGCATCCCTCACCATGCTGCCGATAATTGAGCGTACCTTAAATTCCAACCCTTGGCATGGCAGCAAACAACTTCTTGTTCTAGCCCCCTAAACTGAACAGAACCAAAACACCGACATGCCAACAATAGTGAAGGTACCCTAGGTCTATATTGATTTTGGTTCTGTTAACGTTGGGCAAGTCTACACAGGCCTATCACCCCATGAAGCCAGGAACTGCCTAATGACAAGAGCTTCGGAGGATACTTGTTTAGTGAAATCTGAGAGGCTGCCTAGGTGGGTTTCTTTTCTTTCGGCTTGCCAAACTGAGCTAACGGATGCCTAGTTTTGACAAGATACCCGTCTTTGACTTTGAAGCCTGAACCATTTCCATTCGTCCACTAGGTTCAACCTACTTGGTAGCTGGATTCTAATTGGGGAGAGACTTCCGACAACAGGGCTTGATTGATATACCAGGAAAGCTATAAAGGATCATGAAAGCTCCCTTCAAATCAGTAAGGTGGCAAGCCATTGCTGTGCTTGCCCAGCCGACAGATTAAACATTGCCCTCCTCTGCTTACTCATTTGATCCGTCTCAATGGGAAATCAAGACGAACATCACCATTTTGGGGGGTCCCTTAAAACAAAGACGCACCAATATATGCGGAGCTCTGAAACGCGGTTTCAAGCTAGGCAGCCGGGCGGAGCATCTGCAGCTGCATTTGGCGCGGCGAAGCCGCGGCACATGCCGCCTGATGCTTGCGCCAGCGTTTGGTTGGCGCGACTGTGGGGGGGGGGGGGGGGAAAACCACCTTCGCACCGGCTGGCATGGATGACTTGCTGGTGGGTGGGAATGAACCTGGGGATTCCCTTAAAGGAAGCCATAGGGGATGATTTATGGGGGCATTCCAATTCTCATTCCCTGCTGAGCACCAGCAGGATGAAGCCTTGCAAAGATGACAGAAACCACCTAATGAGAGGTGCAAAGCAGGTTTTGTATATCCACAGAAGGGGGGCCTGGTGTGGCTGGCGCCTTGTTGCAAATCCTGGCTTGGTGCGAACTGGAGTTGTTGATTCAATAGAATGATGATTGGAAACGCCTGATGTGAAAAACACCGATGGCCTTTTCACAGCACTAACCATCAACTTTGTTGAGAGCCTATTCCCAATCAAGACCTGGTTCAACTAGTCCCCTTTTCAGAATTCAGAACCTTCCCTATTGACAAAACATGTGTGCCTTCTGCTCCCCTGCTAAACATATTTTTGTTAGTGGTTTAATGGAAAACCCATTAGTTGGCAAAAAGCTAAGTCCTAACATCCAAGCAAAATGCACCTCAGGAAAAAATATTCATCAGTGGCGCGATGCTTGTACTTTGCGCTTCCTCGTCGTTGCCATGCCTACAGGACACGAGCTCTGGTCAGATCCCACATGCTTTTGCAGCGTAAAAGGCGGGGTGATGCTCCCACGTTGCCCCGACATGTGGCTCCTTGCAACATAGACAAGACTAGTTTATAAGCCAAATCAACAGTTTATGAAGTCGTGGCTGTTGCTGTTCAACATGACAATGTGCAACCAAAAAATCTCACCCATAAGACATGTGCAACAGCAAATGTCTTCTGTTTGTATGTATATGCTCCACCCGCCTCCTTCTTTCAAATAAGAGGCTTTGCATAGCTTGCATGTAGAAAGGTGGGCCCTGGTGGGTGAGCATAGTATTTATTCATTTATTTGTTTACTTATTTATGTTTTAATGGCCTACTAAATCCCCGAGGGTAATCGTGTGCAGACATGGACTCACGGGCTTGGATCTGCCCTAGCCATTGGGTAGCCTATCTGCAAGTAGGATGCCAAGAAATGGCGGGGGCTCCTCTTCCCCGCTAACCCCCAGCAAAAACAATACAACACGTAGCCTCCGAGTCCTGAAAGGGTTCTCTGCAGAATTTGGTGCTTTTGTTGGGTTCCAGATCAATCTGGGATAGGTCCACTTTCGGCACCACTCGTGGTGACGAATGGAAACATCAAGTCCTGGCCCAAGGTGATTTCTCTGAGCCAACGGGCAATTGGGGGTATACAACTATTTCGCCATATGGCGAGGGTATGGGTGTGTCTCAAAATGAGGGGATCCCGAAAGTAGTTGTTTGCCTTCCGGCTTCCTTATCCGCCCCAAAAGCGGTATCCTCAAATGGCACACCATGTCACACTGCATGCCCGTTTGTCCAATGTTCCTTTTGGGGAAATGGTTTGGGGGTAGTGGACACCATCCTATACCTCATTTCCTCTTGCGACAAAAGTCAGCTTGAGATCCCCTACCTTGAGGGGAAGTGTGGGACAGGGTCCAGTTGCGCTTTATCTAACTCCGGTCAAAAAGGGAAGCAGCACAAATGTTCTGGAATCCCCAACCCCCCTTGCACCACCACCCCCTTAGGGACTCCCAAAAAATGGGTTTGTCGAAAAGCTTGACTTCCTGACTACATTGACCAGAAAAAGGGCCACTAAAACGGCATCCCAATGAGTCTGATAAGTCCAGGAAGTCGGGGAGAGCGAAATCCCAAGCAACCTACAACTGGAATCCAAGGGTCGCTCCTGGGGTGTTTGTTGGTTTGTCTTTCAGAAAACTACACAAAAACCAAGAAAATGTGGGGTCCCCCTATTTGCAGACCCAGTTTGGTGGGGCCTGGCTGCCCAAAAATTGAGGGCCATCTGCAGACGAACCCAACTATTCACGTGGGTTCATTCAATTGACATCCACAGCCCTCTACTTGGTGGCCAAAAGGGGTTTCCCAACGGGCCGCAAATTTAATTTTGAGAGCCGCTCAAAAAATACATGTGGTGGTTACAAGGGAAAGATAGGGACCCGTGGTTCAAACAACTTCAAAAATTGGGGTGCGGGTACCCCAAACATCACCTGGGTGTGCCTTTTGTAGGGGCCCACAAAATGGTGTTCCTTTTGATTTCCCCTTCAAACCACAAAAAGCGCGTACCCTCAAAAAAACACCCACCCATATTTACCCTAAAATCAAGCATGTCCAATTCTTCTGGTACTTTTTCGCATCAAATGTGGCTGATTTTACAGTGAATGGAACAAAAGACACTGGCAACTTAGCTCGCCGAACGCTTCTGGCAAATTTCTTCTCAGCGCCGCACCGCCCAGCAGCAGCAAGGAAAGCACGGCAGCCTCGGACCGAGTCGAAGATATGGGTGGGAAAATCGGGGACCTATATAAGTCGAATGTGGTTTCCCTTTGGTTTCACAACCATAGTTCAACTTAGCAAGTACAAGAAAGTTCCTTTATTGGAAGGCGAGTAACCCGCTCATACTTCAGCATGTCCGTAAGACTTACTCAGTTTGCTGGCGAGTGGGAGATTGAATATTTGCGCAAGAACCGCGTAAAGTTTAACAAAGAAAGCCAAACAAAAGTTTTACCCTTCTGTGTTGGTCATCCTTCAAGGTTCGGAGCACACCCTTTTTTCAATTTTAGAGAATGGTTCACAAGTTCTGACTGAGACGGGAAATGGCTTCAATATCCTGTGTCCCAAGAGATAATTGCCAACAAAAGGGGGGTGGACCCCTCAAACATTGGGAGCCCCCGTCACCTCAAACATTGGGAGCCGCCGTCACGACCCCCTTTAAGGGGTTGCCCACATTCGGGGGATGTCCCAACCTTAGCCTCGGTCTATTAGTTGGAGTTGTGTGTGTTCTTCTCCTTTACCGGCAGGCATTGAACAGCTTGACCTCATCACTTGTACCGGTGTAAAGGTGCATAGATTCACCCAAGGGATGGGAAAGATCTCTATTGCAGCAATCAGATGCTGGCCCGAAGCCAAGGAGGGAACCTTCACGTCTGCTTCATCAAGCAATAACTTCAACATGGCGTCTGGACGGCTACAGGCACGGAGTGCTCCAAGATGCTCCAAGTGCTAAGCACCGTGTAAGGGATGGGTGGTACTCGGACCCTTGCAGGTTCAAGGACTACGCACTATGACACCATAAACCTGCAGCTGCAGATGGCTCGAGTCGCGGCCTTGCGGAGAGAGGAGCACTGAGCTGCGGGCTATAAAGCGGTCTTCGCAGAACAACCGCCTGGCAAAGCGTTAACGAGGAATTCATTGGGTGTGCCTTTTCTTGAGGACTCCCCCCAAAATGGCAGTTGTCCATTTAGTTTCCTTTTAATTCAAAACCACGACAAATGGGGTACCCTTTAAACAAGCACAGTCGTGAGCTAAGTGACCAGATGTTGCCAGTTGTGGCTCATGGGTTGGCTGGGCTGCTCAGTGTCTTGTTTCATGTCAAGAGGCAAGCAAGCAGGCAGGCAAGCTAGCCAGCCAGCCAGCTACACAACTAACTAACTAGCTAAGTCGGACAGACAAACAAACAGGCAGGCAAACAATCAGGCAGGCAGAACACGTGCCTGTAATTTGTATTCGTGTCTTGCGCAGCACAGCGAAGGCATCCGTCTCGGAGCTTCAAAGACTGGGGGCTATTGCAAAACACATTGATATACAAATGAGCGAGTGGCAAAACCTCTTGTCGCAAACCTGATCTTTGAATGACGCCGTCGTTTCTGAGGTTTCGAACAATATGTTTCCATGTCCCCAGAAACCTCCTTGCTTGGAATGGCCAAGCGTAACATAAGAGTATCTGCAAGGCAGTGTCCATCACTGCCAGATCCTGGAATCAGGTGGAGCCAGGCTTTTCACAGATCCATGTCATCGGGTCTCATTGATTCTCGCTGGCACAGGGTGGAAGCCACAAACTGCGTGTTGATTGCCGGGTTCCTCTGAAGCCCGTTCCTTCGATTCGCCTGGCTTCAATTCGGTGGCTTTCTTCACGCGACACGGGAGAACGGTTCTGCCAGCCACGACTCGACTCTCGCTGTACCGGCACAAAACCATCCTATGACATCAAAAACTGCTCGGTGCTAGTGGTGTTACCTTCGGGAAAGGGCTGTATGCAGCAGAACAGCTAAACAGAAGCTGGGGACCAACACGCGAAAAACAGGCGCCAAGCAGCTGAACGGGCCGTCCCAAATCCATGAAAGCGCAAGTGTCAAAACTCCTTTGTCCCTCCTAAGGTCCTATGTTGTGTTTGCGTGTGTTGTCACCGCCTTTCAGCCGGTTTGCCCTTTTAAACCCATCCAAGGGTTCCAAGCATTTTGACATACACCCGTTTGTCGCACGGGATCTGGACCGCGGAACCGGGAGGTTTCCTGTTGGTTGCACTTTCAGACAAGCAAAAAGCATGGAGAAAGAGAGAGAGAGAGAGAGAGAGACAGGCCGCTCTCAAAGCACTTTTTCAAGAGGGTTTCGCTGGTTCGAGACATTGAAAGGTTGCCAACTCAACTCCAGTCCTTATCCCTGTCGCAACGCACCTCCGCATTCACCTCAAATGGCGTGAAGAAACAAGCGCATGCGGGGGATGCTGACTGCTTGGCAAGGCTTTTGGGGCAATGCGTGGACCCTCAGCCAAAAGCCAAGTTGAAATTGAAGCAAAGCCCAAAAAGCAAGTTCAAAAGCAAAGAATCATGGACCCCGGTGATTCTGTTTGAGGGAAAGCAAAAAGGCGCCAACACAAGCTCTTGTTGGATGATTCTCCAGCGGCGAAACAGAAATCAAACACTGGAAGGCACCCTAATTCGAGAAACGCCCAAATAGAGGGCCTCAAACAAACAAACAAACAAACAAACAAACAAACAAACAAACAAACAAACAAACAAACAAAAAAACAAAACAAAACAAACCAACAAACAAACAAACAAACAAACAACAAACAAACAAACATGCGTGTGAGTGCAATTTGGGGACTCTGTCGTGGACATCATTTGCATGGGGAGTTATGTCCGCCATGCTTGAGGGACTCCGTCAAGATTCACAGCCCTAGGAATCCCACTAGGCATCATGAATATAATCATTTCTATATCATGTGATCAACTCAAGCATTTGCAAGTAAAGACATCAATTCAAAATAGCCAATTTCTGGCAATCTGCGCTCACTCAACTGAAACGCGGCCTACCTCAAAAAGACACCACCATCAGCGACAAGCAGGACACTTTTTTCAAAGAAAGTGTCATCTGAAATGCACTGCCAACATGAAACCGGACTGGAGCTTTCTGTAACGTGACACAAACCAGCCTCCTTTCGTCCAGCTTCTAAAGGTGGGAGGACATCTGAAACGGCCAGAAACATTTGTGACCTCATAGCCTGCACTCTCCACGAAATGGTCTGAGGTCAAACCTCACAGATATCAAACTTCTCACAGTGCGATCAAATGCATGGAATTCTTGCCTGCTGTTGTCCTCCCTTCAAGATACCAAGCGCAAAGCAGGTTTGATGATGTCCACGAAGGGACAAGCAACATGGCCACCTTCATGTTGTCAGGACCTGCGAATGGTAGGAGTTGTCTCAATGCCAAATCAGCTTGACTCAACGTCAGATCGGCTCTAGCACGTGAGCCGCCTCCAAAATTATTATGTGCCAAACTGAAATATCTCTATCCTTCGTTTTACAGACTCGCCTTCGTTCGTTTTGTCTTTGGACATGTCACCTTGCAGTCGCTTCCCGTAGTCTTCGCGTAACCTTCCGGTTACTTCTAATCTATCGCAATTGAACAAAGCCAATATTCAAAACCAAAATTGTGAGAAAGGGCTTCATTGATGCTTCGTCTGGCCTTAGTTTCAAGACCTGCTCCCGCCCTGCAAAAGCAGGGCACAATGAGAACCCTTCGTTTTAGAAACTCGCCTTCGCTTTTATTTGGGGTTTGTTTTCCCTGGTCCAATCCAATACACTTTTAGTGGTAGCTGACTTGCTTCGACTGTATGATGATTCCAACTACAGTGTATCATCCCCTTGTGTTTGTGCCACGCAAATAAGAGGCAAATAACAAATAGACACATAGATACACAGAAAGAGAAAGAGACAGCAGCAAATCAGTTTAAATAGAAAGAGACAAAGCCATGTATATATGGAGAGAAAAGCACAATAGAGAGAGATAAAGATACAACCAACACGCAACCCTAAAACATATGGTTCAACAAGCAATAAACAAAAATTATCCGCGTTCCCGACTTCCCGACCATATGCAGCCATGCTGCCGCTGGCTGCATGGCAAATCAATGGCTAAGCTCTATGCATTCCGCGTCCAGCGCAGGTCGCAGTTCAAGGAAAGACGAATTGCTTGTTGTCTTGAGGCATGTCCTGCACGTCTGATGTCCTGGTTGGACGGGAGACCCTATCACCCTGGCAAACCAAAGGCAGCGCGGCAAACAAAGCACAAAATAAGCGCAAGCCTCTTCACCAACAAGAGCTTTGACGTCGTAGAGTGCGAGTCCCTGCCCGAGCAAACGGGAATCTGACTTAAACATGGCACTGGGTAGTCGTGTTTAACCTGGCTCTCAGCAAAATCGGGGACACTGCAAAGACCCCACTGCGTCCGTGCGTGTGTTTGTGCGTGTGTGCGCCATGTGTTTAACTGCCTGCATTTGCATTTCCACAGCCCTCGACCGTATATTCTTGGAACTCCAGGTTCTAAAGAGGGCGACAGGTCTGTCGCTGACATTTGTGCGCAATAACAAGGGTCCCAAAAAGATTGTGGACGCCTTCCAGTGGTTGGAGTCCCTGTTTATGAACTCTCAACAGATTGATCAAATCTTGAACCTGGATTTTTTTTAACAGAGACCCAGTGGGTTAGTGAAACCCCACCTATGAGGTGTCACCATTTGAAGAGGAACCTACCTGTTGTTGTTTGGGGGGGGGAGACTCTCCCAATGATCCGGCGGGGCAACGAGTTGTGTAGCGCCAACACACTCAGGGACAGGGATTTTCTGGTGCGTTTCATGTTACTGGGGAGGGTACAAGGCTTCCGTAAGCTTGCCATTGCCATAAAAACCGGATGTAGTCGAAACGAGCGGCCATTGATCCAGATTCCAGGAACCAGTGCCTGGGTTTCAGGCTCAACATCCCCCATTCTTTGTTAACGGACTGGTTAGCACGTGGGCGCCAGGTCAACAATTAACCCTTGGGAGAGCCACACCCCCCCTTCTCACACCCAATTTGCTGTTATGAACATACAACCTGAAGCCACGCACGCGTACTCTCCAGTCACGCCACCGCCTTTTCTGCCGTTGGACCGTGTGACCCCCCCTTTGAGGGTGCCTGAGGGCCTCGAGCAACTTTGCTGCTCGCGGCTTTGCGTGCACCCGTTGGATGGGTCGTGACCATTCCACGAGGGGTTCCTCCTCAGGGTGGCTTCCCTTCTGGCTTCTGTGTCAACACAACAAAAGCGGCACCCAAGGAAGCAATATGCGCGCAGAAGTTGGTAGCACAGGGAGTGCAACCCGCCGGTGGCCACACACTCATGACGGAGGTCCCTGGAAACAAAAGGGCGTCCTTTGCGATGCGTGATTTTCTTTTCGGGAAAAACATCCTAAAAAACGAGACAAATGGAATCCATCGGGCAACTGGGTAAAAAAACAACAACAAAAAACTCCCAGACTCGAAGCTGTCACCGAAATCCATCCAAAGAAGCCAAGGCTCTCGCGCTGGCACGCTAGCACTTCAGCTGGGCCAAAGCCATGATACAAACTCTTGGATGTCCAGGCGCCCATCCTGCGGGTTTTGTGTCAAGCATCTTGCCAAAAAGGCCAATCCTTGTGGAGATCCTGACCCCTCTAATCGGGGGTTCAAAAATGCTAAGCCACATGACAGGCAAAGAAGGCTATAGACTGCCTCGTTATAATCCCTGCTGCACCTTCGCGCAGAATTGCTGACATGTTGGGCAAACAAAGAAGGGGGTGGATTGGAAAAGCCGTACAGTCTCCCTGGCTGCTCCCTAACCCTTGCGCATGCTTCTTTTTTTGATGAGACATACGTAAATGCTCATAATCGGCATCCAGCTTTTTGGCACCATTCACTAGGCTGCTTGGTCCACCAAAAGAGGATTTGCAACAAGTCATGATGTCCATGTCCATCACCTTGCGGTTTCCTCTAAATCAACAACATAGCTGTTCTGGCTCACGGCTGTGCAATCAAAATCAACCCCAAGTGGTGAAGGCAAAGGACCCTGGTAACGAGCTTCTATCTTTCAAACCCCCTAGAAACCATCAAACCAATGGACTCATGGATTTCTCCAAAATAGACAGCGGATCCAATGTGTTGAAGCCAGAATCGAAGGTTCAAACACAGGGGGACCTTTTAAAAGGTTGCCTTCCCACCAACAAGCATGGCGTTGAACACCCCGTTCAGGAAGAAAAAAAAGAGCTTTGATTGGAAATGGGGGCTGCACGAAACCATGTCAAAATAGAATTACACATGTAAACCCAGCCCATTGGCCACGGAACAACAAGCCCTTCGGTTGATTTCAAAAGGGTTTGTCTTTCTTTAAGGGTATCTTCCTTTTGTGCTTTGTCTCCAGGACCCTTGAAAAATGGGGGGGGAGGTTTAAAGGAGCAAAAGGCAAATCGCAACTTCGACAAATTGATCACGGACCAAAGTACAAGGTTAAGACATCGGTACCTGAGGTCTCCAGGACCCTTGAAAAATGGGGGGGAGGTCATCTACCCAAAAAAAAGGCGTCATGATCCCATTTGTCAAGGGTCACGAAAGGACTCCAGGTATCTTGCTTGCGTGGGGGGCGGAAAAGGCTGAAAGGGGGGGTAGCTAAGAGCTAAGACTCGGAGGATTGCGCTGGAAAACTGGCGCCTTGTTGAGGTCCGCCTGCGCGAAGAGCTTCTTGGTGGTCTCCGTGCTCATCTTGGGATTCAGCACCTACCCAGTTTGCGATCGCGCGCGCTCTCGCCATTGGGCGCATCGAAGCGCATCGAAACCGCCACGGAAGGAAAACAAATGGGACACCACAAGAAAATTGTTATGGTGGGTATCCCATTTGACTTGGGGAGATATTGTTTTGACCTTTCAAGGCTTTCAAGGTCAGTTGAGTGGACAAACCAGAGAAAGTCCAAAGGTGTTGTTTGCCATTAATATTGTCTTCCCAGAAAGCTTTCAGGGTTTTAGGGAGACAGGGTCCCAACAAATGGCTGACTTTGGATGTCGCTGTGCACTCGTTATATTCATCTTTGACAATCACCACCAACCGGGACTCACTTCATGTTGGCCTAAAAGGTGAGGTTTGGAACCAATCAGCATGCCCAAAACCTTCGCGAACCTGCTCCAGGGACGCCAAAGCCAAACCCTGGATTTTTCAAAGACCCCAGGGCGGTTGCTGTTCCTTGTTTGCTGTTGACCCCTCTGCTAATAGTTTAACTCTTGTGGGTCCAAACAAAAAGTGAAAGTCCAAAGATCCGATCAAATAGCTATAAAGAGACCTGGCAAAAGAGGATTCGGAAAAGAGATTCCCGCTTTCTGACAAATAGTCCAAAGATCAATAACCAATCTCTAACTAAAGGCTCGGGCAAAAAGAGAAAGCCCCCGGAGGGATGGGACGCTTCCCTGAAGCCCGAGACCCGAGCGTGCCTTGAGCGCCGCAGCCATCTCATCCTCACTGATGCTGCCATCGAAATTGGCGTCCTTGGTTGGGCGCTCCAACTCGATTTCCGCCATGCTGTGTCAAAAATGGCTCAAAAGCCAAGGCTGTACTTTGACCAATTTCTGACTCCATCCAATCAAGTACATCCTTAATAAGAGGAACTGGGTGCTAAATACGAGACCTGGACCAAGTAGCAAATATCCATTCCCGTTTGGTATCTTTTGCGGTGAAACTAACCTCATCTCCACTTTGAGGAAGCGCACTGCAAGCCCCTGGTTGCTTTGGGGAGGGATACCACGGCAACAACTCCAGATTCCTCGAATGCCCCGTGCCTGCGCGATGTCACAAGACTGGAGACCCGCCAAATGATATGCTTCCTGTTGACATTCAATTTGCTAAACCCGGTGTTGCGTATCTATATGTTTGTTCAATTCCTTGAACCCCCAGCCACCACTAGCACGGAGTATATGTCAAATACCTCCCAGAGCCAATGAAAAGTCTCAAAACGATTGACACAACGTAGAGGCTTCTGAAAAATATGTGCGGATCAGCTTGACGCCCAATTGTCCCACTCAACAGAACCCCAACAGGCCACACCCAGTAACAAATCTGCGCAACGGGCCCATCATCGCCTCATCTTGCTAAGAGCAAGGCAAATAATTCTGGCTTGAAGTAGAATGTGCTTTGCCATGGCTATGGCGATTTGCTTGGGCGGCATTTACATTGCTGTCTTTACTGTGCATGCAATGAAACCTGCGTCACTCCTGTTTGCATGATCCTCAAGGACGGAAGATGCAATTCCTAGCTAGCACAACGGGAGTCAAAGCCGATATCCGCAGGAGTTGTCTGTTGAGACGATCTGTCTGGGGAAGACAAGCGGACCCAACCAAAGAGGGTTTTCTCGCTTTGATGTCCCCTTCATGATTGTGGAAAGTAACAGTTTCCACGAAAACAAAGTGAAGCGCCTCCATCAGTGATTACTTTATCGGCTTGGTATCATATAACATGGTGTTCAACCCTAATCTCCGCAGGCATTGTCCCCCAAAAAAGAGGTCGAGGGGGTATCGCCCATGCGAGTGACCCGACAATACTATCACCAGAAAATGATGGGAGCCTACCCAGAACCGACACCCACCCACCTGCAAACCGAATGAAGGCCCACACAAAACAGATACCAAAGTAATACGTTTCCGCTTCTCACATATATACATAGATATATACCACAGCTAGTAGAAATTAACGTTTGCCTATCGCCAAAACGCTGGACTATCCGCAGCGAGCAGAGGGGCGCTGCAAGCTATTGGATGTGTATCCCAAAATGGGCTCCCTCTTCGGGTGGAGTTTGAACGAGGAAAACCAGGCAAACACTACACTTCACGCTGGCATACATGGAATTTGTTTTGCGAGCTTTAAAACACATCTGTGCAGTTTGCGTTGATGTGGTCAAGAGCATCAATGCGACGTTTCTCTTAGCACCAGGTTGCTCAAGCCTAATAATAAGCACGATCAAAACAGGATATGTGCAAACACACGAGAAACTCCCAAACATTCGCTTCGGAGCCTGCGATCTCCATCTAAACAACAACTTTAAATAGGGGATAACCTCAAAAACCAGCCTCATCCAGCGGATGCTGCACTTACGTATTGAGCATCTAAAATAAAGCGTTCCCCACCCGCCCCCCCACTTGCGCACAAGCGGAAAGTATAGTCTTCCAACAGATTGGTAGAAGGGTAAGCGTTTAGCACCTTGACTCTTTGGGCCTTTTGCCGGGCTAAGATATTTACCTCAGAACGTGCCTAACAAACCTGAGCCTTGAATTTTTCACTCAACACCCGCAGGGCAGGAATTCGTTTCGCTTTCGGGGGCATCAATTATTGCAAAGGAATCTCGAGTCCGGCCAGAGGTTCCAGTCGGTTCCTTTCGGGGCAATCAACCATCCTGGGCAAATCCTATCGCGTGGGTCCCCTTTTGAGGGGATCCTCTACGGGTCGTGTTGAATTAAAGGCACAGCAAAAGGAATGCTGCACGCTTGCATGCCCCACGCCGCGCAGAGGTTGAAAGCCTCCCATGCTTCTTGAACTCCTTCCATTCTTGGCTGCTCTTTTGTTTAAGCAAAACCAACATTTTCTAAGGGAAGCCAAAAGGATTTTGTGGAGAGAGACATCCCAAACGGACCAATTCCCTTTTTGGCACAGGGCTCAACGAGCTCAGCTCGAGAGCAATGCGCTGGAGAACAACTGCGGCTGGGGCGCCCATTCCTCCAGTGCCTGCTGGACCTTGCTGATGTTCACCGTGTCCAGCGTCTTCTTAGCGCCGAAATCCGGGGAAATCGGGCGTTTCTGGTTTCTGTTTTGCTGGGTTGTCTCCCTCGGCCAGGAAGCTCATCTATACTTGTCTTTGAGGCTAAAAACACTTTCAAATTGCTGCAAAATGGCAGTGATGTCCAGGAGGGTAGTTCGAGGCTCCAAATACTATTTTGGGGCAATTGGACATGGAAACTGGAGAGAGTCCTCTGTTTCAGGAAAAGTGAGCGACTTCACTAAGTGACCCCAGACCGGATATTGTTGACCGACGTGTTGGATTTCTTCCACATTCTGGACCTTCCCTTTTCAGGATACCTGTTCTAAGTCCCCAGGGTCATTTCTCTGAAACTTGAGACTGAAGCAAGCGGTAAACATGTCCCTTTGGCATCCCTTTCAAAATGTCTCAGTGAACTCTTTACCCTGGGTCAATCTGCCCGCAAAAGGAGCCATGGGCTTCCGAAAGGTCAAGTGGCCTTTGTCACCGGTCAGACCGGCCGGTTCACAAGTCCCTAACCAAACATATGGAGTCTCTAAGGAAGGAACCGGTCGCTCATGCGCCCCTTGGAGTCATTGAAAAGAGGTTCCCGGTCTCGACTCAGAAGCATTTCCGAGTGGTTTAACGGTGACCTTGTCTGGGCCTTGACCCCACACTGGTTTACCGTTTGTCACCTTGTAAATCATAGGCCACGGGAAAATCAGAAGGTCGAGGTCAAATTCAATCGACGCACCTGCAGTTCAAACTGAACTGTTCCCGGCAGTCGACTGACACGCAGTCACCACTCACACTGCACAAACTCATGTGCAGCGTCAGTCCTTGCAAACTTTCGCTAAATCTGTCACCCAGAACGAGCCTCTGCAAACCGCTAGGCAAAGTCACTTCCTGCAAACTTTGGTTAAAGCGGTCGCCGAACTCCAGGCTTTCCAAGCTGCAAGGCAAAGCAGCTTCCTGCAAGCGTTGGTCGAATCTGTCGCCAAAGGCGAGGCTCCGCAAGCCGCTGGGCAAAGTCACGCCGTGCAAACTGTGGTTGAACGAATTGCCCAATGTGAGGCTCTGCAAGCTAATAGGAAAAGCAACTCCCTGCAAGCATTGATCGAAGTTGTCGCCAAAGGCGAGGCTCTGCAAGCTGCTGGGCAGAGTCACCCCGTGCAAACATTGGTTAAACGCATTGCCGAATGTAAGGCATCGCAAATTGCTGGGCAAAGTTATCCCCTGCAAGCGTTGGTTGAATCTGTCGCCAAAGGTGAGTCGCTCCAAGCTGATGGGCAAAGTTACTCCCAACAGGCTGCGGTCAAAGCGATGGCCGAACGTAATGCTTTGCAAGCTGCTAGGCAAGGTCGTCCCCTGTAAGTTTTGGTCAAAGCGGTAGCCAAATGTGAGACTCTGCAGGCTGCTGGGAAAATCAATTTCTTGCAAGCTCCGGCTACAAGAGCTGCCTACTTTGAGACTCTGCAAACTGCTGGGCAATGTCAGCCCAAGCAAGCTGTGGTCAAAGCAATCGCCGAATGTAAGGCTCTGCAAGCTGCTGGGCAGAGACACCCCTTTCAAGCTGTGGGAGGAAATATTTCCAAATGTAAGGTTTTTCAAGCCGTTGGGCAAAGTCACCCCGTGCAGGCTTTGGTTAGAGTCATATCCGAACGTGAGGCTCTGCAAGTTGCTGGGCAAAGTCAGCCCCTGCAAGGTTAGGTTGAAGCTGTAGCCAAATGTTAGCCTTTGCAAGCTGCCCGGCAGAGTTAGTCTCTGCAAGCTCTTGGCAAAGCGGCATCCAAATGTGAGGCTCTGCAAGCCGGAGGGCAAAGCCGGCATTGTCTCCAAGCATAGCTCAAAGCAATAGCCGAATGTGAGGCTCTGTAAGCTGCTGGGCAAAGTCACCCGCAGCAAACTTTGGTTGAAGTGGTCACCGAATGTCAGGCTCTGCAAGCTGGGCAAAACCACTCCCTGCATGCTCTGGTTGAATTTGTTGCCGAACTTGAGCTTCTGCAAACTGCTGGGCAAGGCCACCCCCTGCAACCTTTTGTTAAACGAAGTGCCAAATGTAAGGCTCTGCAAGCTGCAAGGCAAAGGTATCCCCTGCAGTTGTTGGTTAAAACTATCGCCGAATGTAAGGCTCTGCAAGCTGCTGGGCAGAAATATTCCATGCAAGCTTTGGTCAAAGCAATGGCCGAACGTGAGGCTCACCAAACAGCTTGGCAAAGTCACGCCCTGCAAACTTTGGTTGAAGCCATTGCCAAAGCTGAGGCATCGCAAGCCGCCGGGCAACGACAGTCCCTGCAGGCTTTGATCAAACGCATCCCCCAAAGTCAGGCTTTGCAATGTGGTTGGCAAACTCAATTGGAAGAGGAGATCAGAATCTTGCTTGTACCAATTCAGCTCTGTGATTCCCTCCAGCGCTTGCTCGGTCGAAATGCGGCCTTGGCAAGCTTCCCAGGCCCGAAGTACGTCCGTGCGGTTGTAGGTGAACACAAGCTCCGACCCAGGCACCAGGCCCTGCTCTCTCAACGTCTGCCTGGCCATGGGATTTGATCGAAACTACTCGCACCTCGCAGCGTTAGGAACCAAATCCATGCAAATCCCAACGAGTTCACAAGCCCGGAGCACCTTCTTGTTCTACTCTCTATCTCTCTCTCTCTCTCCCTCATATCTGCTCCAGAATGTTGCCTGGTGAATTGAAACAAAGGCTAGCAATGAGACGAGTTGCTTCAGCAAAGTTCTGCGAACCTGGGACAAAGACGTAGAATTTCAGTCCGAGCACCTCGGGCAATCTTTGCCAGCGCGAGACTGCTAAAAAGACACGAGCAAGCCCTCCGTGGGAAGGCTATGGGAAAGACTGCAGGAAGGCCGCGGAAGATTGATGGCTACGGCAAGACTACGGGAAGAATACTACGGGCAAGACGGCCGGACGTCGGGAAGACTGTGGCAAGAACACAGGGAAACTACAGGAAGACAACGGCGGACTACCGGACCAGAAGGCTGTCTGTGCCGGTAAGGGGCTGTCGCCAAACCCTTGTAGGCCGAGCGGACTGGAAAAAGACGGGCGGGCAGGCAGAAATATCATGGAAGCAAGAAGGAGGGGGAAAAAGGCGCAGGAGGGACCAAAAGAGGGCGGCGAGAGCAGAAGAACACGAGGGGAGAGGGGGAGAGGACTGTGTGTTCTCGCACACTCTTCAAGTTCGTCCAGGGAGCTCAGAACCCGCCAGTGAGCTCTCATAGGCCTGGACGCAACCCAACAGGACTCGAAGAGTACTTCACGGGGCCCTGACAAGAGAAAGCTCTCTTTGAAGAACATAGAAATATATATATATACCCTCTAAGCAAATATCCGTTTATTTTAAAGGTATGGCAAAATATCCGGCTTTTTCCAGGAAATACCGGGTTTTTACTTTTTGCGTTGTAATCAGAATGGTCTTGCGTGAGTTATGATTGTGGTTCCCTCAATATAATCCTTTTGTTGGCTCTCTTACATCCAGTCAATCGCTCCACGGCCCATCCAAGCAAGCTCATTGAGCATGGCACCTGTTGCAAATCACCTGCTGAACTCGAAACAATGGTCAATCCACAATTTGTTGGGAAGGCTTCCCAGATCGTGGCTCGGGAAGTTTAAAACAGCATTGGAATATGAACTTTCTGACAAGGGCAACAAGTAGTCCCAGTTTACCGCAAGCGGTAGCTGCACGTGTATACATATTTTGTATGGCACTGAGCAATCTGCTTGGGACTGTTTGCGTAAAGCTCGCGTCGGATACATCTGGAGGGCCGTCTTGCAAATGCTCACTGTTTGACAACCAAGTCCCGTGCTAGAGCATTGATCCCGGAACTTCTCGCAGGCTTGTCTAAAACGTCGCAGGAACATCATTTTTGGAGCGAGCCAAAGGAACCTAACCAGAACCTAACCCACTTTGAACACTGGTAGTAAAAGACGCGTGGGACGAACACATGAATGACTGCTTTTCGCAGGGTCACCTTGCAAGCTTATTTCGGGCAGCTCAGGCCTGGAAAGCTGCTTGAGCAGAGGCTGAAAATCCCATAAATTGCGTACGGGTTTGTACGGTATTTTTATGGGATTTGTACGGTTTTTGTACGGGTTAGGAAAAACCTGGTTTTCGGGAAAATATGGCCCATAGGGTCCAAAGTACTTCCTGAGGATGGTTTCGGGTTTCGAGTCCATGCTGGTGAGCTTTTGGGCGAAAGACCATGCTGAGGGACTTTTGGAAATTGTCCCGGGGAAGGAGGATGGGAAGTGGGCAACAGGGTTGCAAGCCCTGCAGGAATTTGGCTCAAGCGCTGCATTCTTTTCCCCAGTGCGCCCGACCGTGCGGCGCTGAGTCTTCAATCACTATCCGGCATATCCTCCAAAATGCCATCGCAGTGATGCTCGATCCCCAAATAAAAGCGTTTCAGCACAGACTTCTCAAAAGTCAGCTTGGACACCTTCTGTGCCATACCTCATCAAGGAGCACATTTGTGAAAAAACACCGGTTTTCACCTTTGAGGCCCACGCAGCCAACTCGCCCAATGAAGTCTTCTTGGTAGTATCCCTGGTACCACCCTGCAGCAATTCCTTGGATGGTTTTGCAACACAGCTTGCCAGCTGACTGCAGATAATGCTAAATTTGAACCCAGACGCGTTCGGTCATCTGAGCAAAGTTGATCTCTTGCCACCCCTTAGCACAAGATCTATTAGAGTTGCTTTGGGCTAGATGGGCAATGTTCAAGAAACTAGTCAACACAGCTGGCGCACCATGCAGACCAGTCACGTGGATTTTGGGCCAAAGCGGCCACATGAGCTTCTTATTTGCCAGAGCCATGTTCGCGAGCTTGCAATACGCTCCAAGCGACACATCCTGACTTTTGTCGATGGCTCCAACCCCTGCCCCTGATAAACAAAAACCTGGGACTAAAAAAATCAAGACCCCGCTACGCCATGTTCATACTTCCTCAGCGAGTTTTCAGGCGTTTTCATTTCCAAAGCACACAAGTATCACAAGTATGCTTATTTCTTGGGACGATCGATGGTGTTTGAGCGCTTGAAATGCGCTGAAGTAAATATTTTGAGAAATATTCTTTCATCACTAAAATAAATGAACTCACAGAGAGAAACTCAGCATGATTGAGCAAGGGTCCGTGTGCTGCCCCGATTCTAGCAAACAATCCCATGGCCGATAGGACATCCCCCGAGAAAGGAAGGGCTTGTTGATCCTGGGTCCCCATATTGCACACAAGCTTCACACTGATGCTGCATCTCCTTCGCTTGATCCTCGGTCAGGTACAGCCCGGATGCTTCTTGGCAGTTGTGCCACTCAGCCAAAGCGTGCCTGAGGCCGGGCAAGGGGGATGGCGGCACAAGGGAGTCCGAATGAGCCAACTAATATGTGCAAACCAGACGCACACAACACGTCATTGCACCCAGCTCTTCATCTCCAGGGCCGGTCGCATACACAAGAGCCACCAGGAATTCACTCAGCCATGCTGTCACACATCGGGCCTGAGCTGTTCGAGGGCTCAGAAGGTCATTCAGGTGGCTACATGCTAAAAAAAACACCTTGTAGTACTGGTCCTCTCAATTTTGTCAAGTATGTACACAATATGCCTTGGAAACTCTGGATGTTGGGAACCCATAGAACAGTAAGTACATGTTCATATGCATATCTTTCTGCACATGCATCCTATATAGTGTGCATGTGGTGATTAAGAGTACTGGTTTTCCGGCATTCTCGGATTGAGTGGTTCATTTCAGCTTCACGCCAAGCATCATTCCATGCCTTAGAATGCAGCTCCGGATACGGATGCTGCACTCCCCGCAATCTCGCAGATGTGAACTTGGGTTGAGATTGCCTCCAGCAACTGGGCGGTGTAAACTTAAGAATCAAAGGCTGATTGAAACACGACTGGTGTAAACACAAACTTTCGCATACTCTTGCAATCTTATAGGCTGAAGTCAGAAGGGAGGGATAGGCACATCAAAGGAAGCCAAGGCACTGGACTGACCAGGCACGGCACCAGTCTTTGAACTCCATGTACGCAAGCGACAACCTGCAGGTGGATGTAATTATTGTGTTTTAAACGGTTGTTCATGGCAACATTTCTTTTTGACCGGCCTTGCGGCTTCATCCAGTTCACGGCCACCCCAAACGTCGTAGCCGTTCAAGAGAGCCCTGAAAGTTGAGCCACACACTAGCAAGTTGTACCCGAGGTTCAAAATGTGCATGCTGCACCACTTGACCATCTCCGGGCAGAAGCCCGGAAGTCGAGTGAGAGGGCCTCACAGCAAATGCCAATAGGCCAAGAGGATCCATGTGCCCTGTTAGGATGGTTGTTGAGAGGCTCACGCGGGTCAAAGTCACTCTCTAAAAGTGGTCACCTCAAGATCCCCCCCAACAACAATCCTGGAAGAACACTTGGACACTTGCGTTGCATAGGGTGGTTCCCTGTAGTGGCTTCGAGCTCAACTCGTGACCCACAAAACAACCCAAACACTGATCTAATTGAAGATGAATCCCATCCAAGGCAAAGTCACTAACTAGCCCGGGCTTGATGCAATCCGCCATGAAGCTGACACGGTCGCGTCTGGCTCCCTGCAAAAGATTCGAGGGCACCTCCACATAGCTAGACTTCTGAGCAGGGCAGTGATGACATATGGCATTTGCCCTCCACCAGGTACGCAAGTTTAGCCACTCCTTAATTCCCGACATCAACAGCGCTGAATCAGATCTAGCTTCCAGCATGCACGAACAATTTGGCTAGGGCACTTTCTGAAATTTCCAATCGCCTCTGATCCACACCAGCATAGCCTCATATTTGAAATCCGGAAGCACCCCCAGATACCCCCGAAGATCTGGCACGTTGAGGCCCTCGTAGAGCAATTTGAATGAATCCACCAACTCAGCTCACCCAGCCGGCAGGTGAGCGTGGTGCATCAGGAGGCACAATGGGGGAAGGGGCCACCCGCAGATGTTGGAGTAAACCCCAAACAAACAGGAAGATGGCTTGCACCAATACTAAATGTATATTCTTGTTTTGCCTCTGAGGCTTGTTTTGGGGAAGTCTTTTCGCAGTCTTCAGCGCAGCCAGGGGGCAGGTTCCAGAAAAGCGTGCAGCGTTGGAAATCCAACACTCGAGTCCTCAATTTCCAACAAATCGAAAGTGTCAGAAGTAAGTTTCTTGTTGAAAAGGGATCTTTGAAAGTTCTGGGGCTGGACCCTGCACATGCTTCCAAGATTCCTCTCGAAAAACGCACAACGGATAGCACACCTCCAAGCTGTTGGTCCGGTTGTCCAGCACATGCCCAAAACATATCAGGGTGAGCTTCTCGTTCTGCTCGTTGTACACAGCATCATCCCCCCAAATCCACAGAGGTGCATGTGTCTTCGAACTAGAGTTGTAAGGGCAGTCTCTGTCACTCAGATGGCGCCAAAACTGCAAAGTCTCATCAACATGCACTTTTGGCCACACACCCTTCCTCATCAGCCAGGGCACCAGCTGATGTGGGAGGATGCAAGGCAGCTTCCT